AGACAATCGTGTCAAAATAAGAAAGTATTGGAATTTGTAAACTTCTTATTTATCATAAAATGTGTCTCAATTGCATTAATTCTTGTCTAATACAAGCCCGAAGATAAAACATGAAACTTTTATACAAATACATGTCTTCTTAGAGACATTTTTGGTGGTACCACATCATTCACCAAGGTCGCAATCTTTCTCATGCCTAGCATGATGACTTATACCTTATTCCCTTTAAAAAATGAATTTATATTTTTAGCATTTATTAAAAGTTCTCATTCTTGATGAATGAAACACAAACATGTGCATATCAAATTATGATTGCTTTAGTACCTCATTATATATTTATGTGCATTATTCAATCACTTGTCTTCTTTTAGACGTAATATGCACGACTATGACATTCACTTTAGGGAATGAAAGCTTTCAATTGAATAGGGTTTATAACTACTTTTCATCAAAAGCATATTTTTTGCTTTGATAGTCAAAATATCATCAATATAGTCCATTGAGACTCAAACTCAAAGTTATATCCATATAAAAGTGTCTTAGATCATAAATCTATGGGTCTTGAACCCAATATCTTATCATCATGATGCATCAGGACTTTAACCCAATGTCTTACCCTCTTTATGCGATTGGACATAAATTCATCGTGTTATTCTTTTGGTGCGATAAAACTTAAATCTATCGTCTTACCTATAATGAGGCTCAACCTCAAACCTTCAAAATACTTGTAATTTTATCACTTTTGATGATCATTAATATGATCGTACATTATAATTACACACAAAATTGAGATAATTGATTTATTATAATCAACATTAGTAGTTAATAAATGTAGCTTAATAGGTCACATACCTCATATAAAGGTTTAATATATATATTTTACTAATTTGTGCTTATTTAATTATTAAAATAAATTAAGGAATTCTCTTCCCAGTCAATTAAAATTAAACGTATAGAAAGTCGACAAGTCTCTTTACATACATACTTTAGATGGTACCTCCAAATCTCTTAAATAAATAATTATAACATAAAGATAAATCATACCTTGAAAATATAAGAACCTTATTGCATAACTTATACAAGATCTCTTTTCCACTTTTCCCGACTTCTTCATCATTCTTTAAGAATAAAATAATTGTGCTGATAACGTGTTATGAAACTATATAAATTTAGAAGAAGAAGAAAGTAGGGAGAAAAGATAAGACGTCTTATTTATCTTCAAGTATATTCAAGGTTTCATTGATCTTTCACAAATCTTCTTAACAATGAAGGAAAACCCTTTATTTATAGGGAAAACCTTACTTGGTCCCCAAGTAGGATTCCTAACCATATCCTACAAGGACTCCACATAATTAGACATTCACTATAACACAAATTTGTTTATAACAGGATAGATAATTACAAATCATTTTTAAAATATGGTTAAAGTTAATCACCAACTGATATTAATGTGTTCATTATTGACGGAGTAGTAGAAAATTCATGCTTTGATTATCTCCTTTCTCGATTTTTCATTTCTTTTTTATGATTGTCTTCCAAATATCTTCTTTGTTTTAATTATTTTTCTTCCTTCCTTTGCTTTTTAGCTTTTCGAGAACATCAAACGAGTTTCATTATACATGCACGAATCAAAGAGAAAAAAAATCAACAACATACCAAATAAATAAAAGAAACACCGTGAAGGGAAGAAGGATAACAAGCATCAGAAAAGGAAAAACAGAAACAACAAAGCGTCTTCGAAGCAAATTAGAGATGAAAAGAAAAGATCTCAAAATGGATAAAATTTGTCGACTTTAGTGTAAAATAATAGTCGGAGCATTGACGGTAAACATTAAATATCTGAAAATTGAAATTAAGTTTATACAAGAGTTAATCTAATATCCTATTTAGTATGATATTCTATATGATGGACTAACTACAAAATGCACCATATTCTTTTTTTAAAAAAAATCAAATATATTATCAATAACTAAGCATATAATTATCTGGTTAAAATTTAATGATAAAAGAATTAAAACATTGATAATCAAGACAAAACACAAAAGTAAAATTATTAAGAATATTTTTTAAGTTATTAGAAATCTAAAATATGTTAAGAACCTTATATTTCAAAATAACTGTACAATTCCAAAAACATATACATATAAAATAATTCTCAAAATTATTTATATTTAGCCTACAAAACAAAAAAAAAAACTAATTATTAAATCAACAAAATGGACACCTTAATTTTGTCAGTTCTTCTTCTGATGATAGAATATGATTTCTTTATGAAAAGTCAAAGAGAGAGTATCTCACGAGTCATCAAGATATTGATATAAGAAAAAAAGTCATGTGACAAGTGTTTGTCTTCAAAAGAATTTTGAGAAAATACATAAAAAAAAATTCTGAACTTGGTTGGAAATCTTACCTTAGCACTTAAACTATACGCACGTTTAAATACCCCCTTAACATCTTTGAAGTGAACCTTCACATAAATTCAAATACAAATATTGTTGTTTGCTCACTATTTTCTTTATTGTTTAATGTATTTCAGGATTGAAACTTTAGACGCATGCAGAGGCATCATATCACCTTGTTTATGGTGAGAAATAGAATAATGATAAGTTATTATTAATAATGATAATTGATGAACCAATTCTTATGTTTTCTTAATTAATTATTACATGCATCAGTTACATAGAAATAGGGAGAAACCAATGAAGAAGAGGAAAGAAAAAAGGAATGTTGACTTCAACATATAATTAAACAATGACTTCAAGTATATAATGTTCATTTTAGGATGCTACAAAAAATTATCATAATAAATCCACAAGAACTAATCATAATTTTGCCTAATGAGTTACGTATGTACAACTATAGTCCCATAAAAAAATATTATCAAATTCTCTTTCTCCGTCATCTTATTATGAAGTTCACAATTTTCTTTGCTTTTGGTATTTTTTTCGGTTTTCTTCTTCATGATCCTTATTAGCATAAATTAAGAATATAATTAAATGAAATTTTTATTTACTCCATGAATTTGTTTAATTTAGTTTCAAAGATTAGTCAAATTGACTCAAAATAAACAAATAAATAAATAAGTAATATAACATAATGTAAAGTTAAAAACATATAATCTAAAAACATAATAGAAACATTATTAGTCATAAATTCTTTCTGATTTTGTTGAAAGCAACCATATGATGTGATGATTATCATTTTCTTCGTCACCCTAATGTATGATATGGTGATGGAGAAATGAAAGAATAACATTGAATGACAATTTTCTTGATACAAAATATGGATACATATTGATAAAAGGAAAGGAATATCATAAGACATAAACTTACAAATTAAATTTTGGGGGTAACGGAGATTAAAAAAAGAAGTTATGAATATTATTAAGTTGAAGATGTGTGAGTTATTTCTTATTTTATTACAGATATTAACTATATATTATAGTCGTAGGTGAAAAGTTCTGTAATTGAATATAAAGACTATTTAAGATATTAAAAATAAAACAAATAAAAAATAAAGGAAAAAATGTCTTAAAATTTAAATGGAGCCACATCACCTTCTTCATGTAGGAATCTCTCCGTTACTTATTCACTCCATTTCCCACTTGTATAGAAGTCATGTGTCATAAATAAAAATTAAAGGTGGATATTTGTTTGTTGTGTTAAATCTCCGTCTTATGACACATGACTGTTAGATCCATAAACTACTTGACCTAACTACGTGCATGCATTATAAGGATTAAGGCATTGATCTTGTCATGCATGAGGGCAAAACAGTGCAACAAAGGTTCAAGGTGCTTGGGTGTTGGTAAGGCAGCTTGAAGTGCAAGGCTTACGTATAGGAAGATGTCATCGCCAAGACAATGCAAAGTGTTGTATTGGAAAGACAAGGCTATGAGAGTTGACGATGACATGGCAAAGGCATTCGCATGGATTACTGAAATAAACTAAGTGTTGGAAAAAAATTGAAATATTCTAAGCATTGGAAGTAGGATGAAATATTCTAAGTTTTAGAATGTAGGCTGAAATATTCTAAGTGTTAGAATATTATTATTTCAGTTAGGATAAGAATTGTAATTAGATTCTATCTGTTAGAAATATAGTTGTTGGAAGCTTAGTTTAAATTTTGTGATGACAAGTGTTGGAGAGTTATCACTTTGTGCAAAAAATTTGTATGGGAGGAAATTTCTTCTAAAGCTTAGGAGATTGATTCTGGACTTAGACAAATTTGTAAAGTCTTTTCCTTGTATTGTTTTTATGATTAATAAAGCTTGGGAAGAGTTCATTATTAAAGTTTGCGCCTTTAAAGTATTTCAATACTTGGTAAAAAACGTGAGCAAGATAGGCTGAAGTTTGTAGACGTTTGTAGACCGCCTAGGATTGGTGTTCAATAAAAAAAATTGACCCTCTTTCAATTGGTATTAGAGTGCGGTTGAATGATGGTGAAGAATGTTGAACTGCGAGAATTGGCACGCAAAATTGAAGCTTTCGTTGGGAGCACATATGACAATGTGAACGAGCCATCGTTGTGGATCTTCTGACGCAAATCATAAATTTGAGACTGAACGGAGAGAGAATTCAAGGTGAGATCGGTGTATATTGGAAAGATGTTGATGGACACATCGCTGAAATCTTGAATTTTTGTGACACAACTACACTGCAACTGGAGGGGCTGCAGAAGGAAAATGAAAACCTTCGCGCAGAAGTTGTTATACTGTGTCGGGCTGTGGCAACATTAGGCTCCGGTCGTGGAGAATCGTTTGAGGTTAAAATTCCAGAACCTAAGGCCTTTGGTGTCTCAAGAAGTGCTAAAGAACTAGAAAATTTCATATGGGATATGAAACAATATTTTACAGTAGCAAGGGTACTTGAGACAGATAAGTTGAACATTACTACTATGTACTTAACGGGTGTGCTAAACTTTGGTGGAGGACTCTAAATGCAGATGACGTAAGTGTTGGACGACCCAGAATTGAAACATGGGATAAGTTGATAAAAGAGATGTGCAATTATTTTCTTCCTAGCAACGCCTCTTGGCTTGCAAGGGACAAGTTGAAGAGACAGAAGAAAACTGGTTTGGTGAGGAAATACATTAAAGAATTTACCTCTGTAATGTTAGACATCAATAATATGTCTGATGAGGATAAATTACATAACTTCATTTCGGGTATGCAAGGATGGGCACAAAACGAACTTCAGAGGCAGAATGTTAAGGATCTTCTTGGAGCAATTGTTGTTACTGATTCGTTGGTTGATTTTCGGATGACGCATCCTGTGACTGATATTACTTCTATTTCAAAAACTAAGAAAAAAGATTACAAGAAGGGGGAGTGGAAAAGGGATAATTGTAAGTACAATACTAATGAAAAAGGGAAGGCACCAATGAAGGAATGTAAAGACAAACCAAAGAATAAAGATGGTAATTCAAAGGGTTGTTGGACTTTTGGTGGTCCTCATTTGGAGAAGTGTTGTCCAACCGGGAAAAGGTTAATGCTTTGCTTACAGGAAATTTGACTCAATGCAAGGAGGAAGAAGAAGTTGTGGCAGCAATGGCAAATCCGTTGGGATTGTCTTTAATTAGACTATTTTTGTTAATATTGTTGAAGGAATGTCCAGTACTTCGAATCCTCATGCTCCATTAATTCATATTGAAATAAAGGTTAAAGATCAATATGTGATGACTATAGTTGATACAAGGGCTACTCATACATTTGTGGATGTCAAAATTGCTACAAAATTGGGGATGAAGTTGACTAAAAGCCCTTCCTACGTAAAACAGTCAATTCTAAGGCACAACCCATTGTGGGCAATGCTTATAGGGTGTCTATATCAAATAAAAGTTGGGTGGGAAAACATAATTTGATGGTGATGCCGCTTAGTGAATTGGAGATCATACTTGGGATTGATTTTCTAAGAAATTTTAAGTTTGTTATGTTTTCTCATTTAGATGGAATGATGGTTATGAATGAAAGCAATTCTGAATTTCCTAAGGGTGTTCATCCATTCGGAAAGGTTAGTAAAGTTGCAAAGAATAAAGACAAAGAAATGTTGTTGTCTGCTATGTCAATTGGCAAAGGGTTGAAGAGGGGAAATTAAGCTACGCTATACCTGTTGCCTTAGTGGAATTGAAGCATGATGTTACGTAGAAGTGCCTGATTGTATTGTTGAATTTTTAAAGCAACATACTGATGTGGTGCCACCTGAATTACCAAAGAAGTTACCAGCAAGAAGGGATATCGATCAGAAGATTAAGTTACTACTAGGTACAGTTGCTCCTGCATACGCTCCTTATTGTATGACTCCTACAGGGTTGGCTGAATTGTGTAAGCAATTGAATGATTTGTTGGATGCTGGTCTGATTCAACCTTCTAAGTCTCCCTATGGTGCTCCTATTTCGTTCCAAAATAAGCAGGAGAGGACAATGAGAATGTGTGTAGAATACAGGGCGCTAAACAAGGCAAATGTGAATAATAAGTATACGGTTCCATTGGTGCAAGATTTGATGGACATGTTGAGAAAGGCATGCTGGTTCACTAAACTTGATATCAGGGCAGGTTATTAGTAGGTTAGAATAGCAGAAGGTGATGAACCCAAGAGTAGGTGTGTAATTACATATGGTTTATATGAGTTCCTTGTAATGCCATTTAGGCTGACTAATGCTTCGACTAAGTTTTGCAACTTCATGAATAATGTAGTTAGTTTTTGATTATCGTGATGATTTCGTGGTTCTCTATCAAGATGATATTATTATCTATAGTCAAACGTTGGAGGAACATGTTAATAACCTAAGTTTGGTTCTGTCTCAATTGAGAAAATAAACACTTTATGTTAACATGGAAAAGTGTGAATTTGCTCAAAAGGAGATAAATTTTTTGGGCATCTTTTTAGTAAAAACAAAGTTCGAATGTCCTACGAAAGTGCAGGCCGTTGTTGAGTGGTTGGCACCTCGTAGTATTATAGATTTGAGATTTTTTCTTGGGTTGGCTAATTTTTACTGGAAGTTCATTGCGGGTTTTTCAAAGAGGGTAGTGGCTTTGACTGATTTGATGAAGAATGATACGAAGTGGGTGTGGTCTGACTGATGTGGAGAAGAGTTACAAAATTTAAAAGAAGCTACTGCATCTGAATCAATACTCAAACTTCCTGACTTAGAGTTATTGTTTGAAGTTCACACTATTGCATCTAACAAAGCTATTGGAGGCATATTGGTGCAGGAAGTCCATCATGTGGCCTTTGAAATTCGAAAATTGAATGATGTAGAACAAAGGTATTCGACTCATGATAAGGAAACAATTGTTGTTGTACATTGACTACAGGCTTGGAGAGTCTATTTTCTGGATCTCGAATTATGGTGCGGACTGACAATGTTGCTAATACATTTTTCATGACACAGAAAAAGTTGAGTCCTAAAACATAGTGGCAGGAATTCCTAGATGAATATGAATTCATGTGGGAACATAAGCCATGCAAACACAACCAAGTTGCTGATCTATTGAATCAAAAAGAGGTATTTGCTGCATTCGATTAAATTTCAAAACTTGAAACTGATTTCTTTGACATAATCAGGTTGTGTGCTGCAAATGATTCATTGTATGTTAAGTAAATGGGTCAAGTGCAAGATGGCACAATGAGACTTGTTACACCCTCAAAATAAACTAAGGTATCTAGAGCCTCACATGTGTCTAAAAAGGTTAATATCATGTTAATAAGGTATTTTATAACATGTATAATTGATTTGAAGTGGTTGGAGGTCAAACGTCCAAGAACGTCTGAGACGTTTGAAAGTTAGCCTTGAAACGTGCTAGTGCATTCTAGTGTGCCTTGGTATGTTTTATGTATTGTTTTGTTCTCAAATTGATGTAATAGTACCCTAACATGTATATGATCGTATTTAGGGTTGAAACATCCAGGAAAGACTCTCCAAGTACCACCCTAGGGGTCCTTCAGGAGGACTCAACCTTGGGACAATAAGCTGCCGAAGGCAGTAACATTTTGTTCTTACATGAAACATGTCCTTTGCGATCTAGGGTCTCCACACACCAAAAGTTTCTCCACATCACGGACACAATGAGGACTCTAATTCTCCAAGAATTAATTCCAAAAATCATGTGGGAACATCTCCGCGATGCCGACTTGCTCCCCGACGAAGATCCCAAAAATGAAAGTTAAGTTTTACATGTCTTAAAGTTCAAATAAGTATGGGGGTATTTTTGTAATTTGGGAGGTGATTATAAACTGTTTTAATACCTATTTATCAACATTACCAAGTCAAAACCCCAATATCCAATAAGAAAAATCAAAAATCCCAAAACCTTCTTCTCTCCCAAAACCCCAAAACCTCTATTGAAAACTGAACTCAAGAACAAGCTACGGAGGTGGATTCTTGGAGATTTATTCTCATACTTTCGTGGGATTTCTCTTATAAATGGTATGGTAATCATTTATACTTAGTTAATCTTCCATCTAAGGAGTTGAATCTATGATTTTCAAAAGTGATTCAAAGACAAAAATTCCCAATTTTCAATATAGCCATGAATTTAGTGTCAAATTAGTTTCAAAGACATTATAATGATGGATTTATGTTTAATTAATATTTTAATTATGAATTTCAATGCAATTTCATGAATATCCCATGATCCTCCTAACTTCTCAAATTGGCCTATAATGTGGCTCTTGTGATCTTGATGATATGATGGTTAGATTATATTTAGATTATCATGAATTTCTAAGTTATATTTTCCTTTATTTGAATTGATTATGAATTGTTGGGAATTGATCAAGATGATCATTACCTTGGAGATTTGGTTAGTTGACCTATTTTCCTCTTATTGGTTTAGTTTGTATATGAAATTGTGATGATTGGTATGATCCACTTATGATGGTGGTGTTTACATTAATTACATGTTTATGTGTTATGATAATCTCCTTTAAGGCATTAGATGCAAGATGAATTGATATGATCATTTCCATGTGTAGGAAGTTGAAGGATTATGCATTGATTCTAATATCATGTTCTAAGTGAATTGATGTCATGTGAAGTATATGATTAGCCTTCAAAACTACATGACCTAGGTTTGGGGATGATGTTATATGTATATGTGTGATGATCATTCTAGGGTTAGATGTGGTCTGCATGGCTAATGATGATGAGTATCTTTGTAGCATGACCCCAACCTATATGAACCCTATATGAATGTGTGATAAAAGTATGCTGGGGGTCTTTTATTCTAATGACTGAGCATGTTCTTGCCTCATATGATGTAACGTGAGTGTGTGTAGTCTATAGTCATTAATACTTTATATGTGTGTATGACTTGAGACTTGAGGACTGATGTACGCGTGTTGTGATCTTTAGAGGGTGGATTCCTCAATGTTATGTTATAGACATTATGTGATCATGTTGAAAAATGTACAAAAACACTTCATGCATGACTATGGATATGATAGATTCATGATTACTAAAGAAAGGATAATTCTCCTATGCATCATTACCTATTTATATGCATGTAAAGTATATGATTAATGAAGTTATGAACATGTATGCCTCAATATGTTTATGTGAAGTTAAATTTGACATATATACACATGCATGTATGAATGAAGCGTGTTAATGGTAGTCTAATGAATAAGTGATTCTCTTTAAAGGTGTTACTCAATTGTACTCTAAACTAGACTATATCACGAACATAGTATGATTATATGAAAGAACATTCTCATATAATGTAGGTTCTATTATGAAAAGACATTCTCATCTTAGAAAGCTTTGATCTATATCATGGATAAGGGAGCGTGTCTAAAGCCTAAATTTTATGATTAGTGTTATCTAAAGGCATAATGATGTTTAAAAAGGGAGTTTAAGCTTAGCACCGAGTGAACATGACATATGAGAATGAGAGCTTCACGTTAGTAAATCCGGCTTCCCACAAAGAGAACTTTTACGTTAGTAAGTCTGGGTTCCCAACCTAGAAGACATCTCACGAGATGGAAACTTCCACATTAGAAAGTCAAGGTTTCTAGAAGCAATCTCCTTATTCCATAACTACATTCCCCCGTTGGTTTTAGCTTAGTGGATCTATTAGAATATCTATTTTGTATGAATGTCCTACCTTTGCAAGTAGTACCATCTCTTTTTAGGTGTGGGAGTAGAACACCGGATTCAATGTAGCTCACATGGTCTATGTGAGTTCTGGCTATGTCTCCCAAAGGTTGAGAAATAAACTAAGATAAGAATATGAATTCTAATCAAATTCATTGAGAAATGTACTAAGTATAGGGAGGATTGTGGACCCTACATATGCATTGCATAAGATGACTTCCAGAAAGGATAGGATTGGAGCATCATAGGAAGTAAAGACTTATGTTATGTATGACTTGTATGAATGCATTAAGTAACTTTGCTATAACAAAACATAAATTATGACTATGCATGTGAAATGCTCTTGTGACTTCTAAATGAGTTTAGTTAGTACATTTGGGGGTATAAGACTCCATGTGTACATTGAACAAGTAAGCTTGTGAAGGAGTTATGGTGGTGGTTTACTTATTGTATGAAGTAATTAAGTTGTGATTAAGGTTGTAGTAAAGGAAAGAGTCCTTACGTGATGCTATGGAGTATGTAGCCTTATGTATAGTTATAAATGAAAGTTTTATGACTTGTTAAGTCTTTTATGCCTAGTCTACGATGACTTCTTAGGTACACTTGGTGGAAATAGTATTATAGGATGCTACCTGCACATTGCACTAGTGTGACTTAGGAGTTTTCTTAGGTGATGGTCCTTATGTAAAGCTGATGTCTATGAGGTGCTTCAGAGTTATGAATATATGTGTTTGTGTTATGAATCATATTGTGAAAGGCTATCGTAAGGTGACCTCAAGGTGGTACATTGTACTAAGTACACTTGAGGGTTAATTAAGGAAAAAAGTAAGATAAAAGAGAGGTAATGTATTGTATGTATTGAATATGCCTAAAAGTATGATAAATGGATTTATGTGCTATTATGAGTAGTATCCATGTCTATGTGATGTATGTGAACTATCTTGTTCTTATGTGCCAATGTTCATAAAGTTTACTAAAAAGACGCATTACACGATTTCTAATGAGATGTCCTCTATAAATACATCTTTTGGCATGGTTGTCATATTTAGTGCATTATTGTACTAATACCATTCTTCTTCATATTTTTACATAAAGTGTAGGTGGTGATGACTAGAGGATGTATCCTAAGTGAAGGTCTTGGATAGATCTCTCAAGTTCAAGATAAAGGGACCCTTATGATTCAAGGGTTGCCTATGTGAAGATGTTTTTCAAGATGATGTAGTAGTTAGATTATATTTTATATTGTTAAGGGACGTGTCCCTATTCTATTCTATTGAGTTGTTTCTTAATATGGAAAAGAGACTTAGAGTCTAATTATGCATATGAAGAATATATACATATGAAGTAATGTTCTAGCATATGATGTGATATGAAAAGTTATAATTTTTCCACTATTTTTATTACAATTATGCAATGAAAAGTGCTTGTAGAAGACCTCCGAGAGGTCGGGTATGGTGTTTGACAAT